CTCTCTCTCTCTCTCTCTCTCTCTCTCTCTCTCTCTCTCTCTGAGTGGTAATAAACGGCTGTGACAAACGCAAAATAGACCGCATGAGAGAATAGACGGGCGAGAATCCAGTTCCCTCATCTATATGGATTACAAGCAAAACCCTATGCACATCAAACTAATCAGAGAAGCAAAGTAGGAAGAAGGATATGTCCCTTGTAGGGTTCCTTATCTTAAAGAATCATAATTGGAGGAAACCACAAGCTAAGACACTTATCCATCAATCCAATACTTATCAAACACCTCCATTTAAAAAAAAATGAAAGGTGATATATTTTTCTTACTGTACAAGCTTTTGCAAGATATGTTTTGATGGAAAGATACATGTTGAGGTCACATGACAACTTGAGTTAATTGTTGGAATATTAAAAGCAAAACAGGTGTTGTTAGGTAAGCAACCTTGAATTATATATATGTGGATGATAAGATAAGTGGTTATCATAAGAAAACGAATCAAAATAGGTCTTCATAAGAAGATAAGCTAATCAAACTTAAAAGTCTTTTTCCAAAACAAAAACAAAAAACTATTTAAAAAGTGGTATATGAAAATGCCTTATGTATACTTATCACAATCACTTCACGGTTAACTAATCTTGCACTCTTATGTTTCTTCACAAGATTGGACTAATTGGGTCTTTAATAGTAATTATAATATTGGTTGTATAATCGTTAATTGACACGAGTTTGGAAATTTGAAGTTAATCAAACTAGATATTTAAAAGGAAATTATGGACAGAAGAAAGTGTAAGAAGAAAAGTTGGATACCTGACGTATGAAAAAATATTGGTAAAAACACATATAAAATAATATATCTGATAAACTTTGAAAAATCATATCACCTAATATAATATTTTTATAGTTCATCCAAAGATCTAAAAAGGTAATTTAAAAATGTAATATTTTTATGAATTGCTTCAATAATTTGTCTTAGTTGTATAGGACACTTACATACATTTTTATATATAATTTCATCGTACATAAAATTTAAAGTACAATTTTATCTTTATATTTTATTATATTTATCTTAAATTATATAACTAATTTGAATATTGAAGTGTTAGTTTTGTAGATCCACCCTGCATCACCGTACACAAGATTAGCATAATTGATCTCAGCGTCTTACATCATTAACCAACTTCAGTTATGATTTTGAAACAGAACAATGATGCCGTCTACGAAAATCGACTCTTAATTCCCACGAATAGACCATTCGTGATCTAAAGTCAGATTTCTGACAGAATCATTGAGAAATAGAGGTAGTGACCTCCCACATCGTATCGAGGGAATTCTCTAATCTGTCTCCACCTCAATTCTCAGCCATTGATGAGATTCACACAAAAATAATGGTTGACAAAGATCCACCACTAGTGCACCTCATCCAAGCAACACCCGATACTTGATTGCAAAGTAAAGATTAGGCAATGTTAGGATTTCTAGATCGTGAGAAGGTAGATGAGTCCTGAACGCGAAATTACTGTTAGTGAAATCAGTCACCGTCGTTGATCAACCAGTAACATGATTTCTCATAGATGATAAAAGTTTGTGTAATACCCTCTACACTGATACGCTCGAGCACATAAGGCTGAGTCGTCCAGATCCGAGTCCATATAGTGGTGTACGCCTCTTATCTTTCAACGATTACGTGACTCATCCTTGCAAAATGACATAACTTCCTTATTGCTTAGAGAAGGAGAAAGCAAAAGAAGGTAACCCTTTATTTCCTGGTAGTGTCTTCTAAGAGTGCTTTTAGCGGCATCCTTGGCAGGTCCTTCCTAGAAAATCTAGATGGCATAACTTTCCTTATGCACCTTAAAATAACGTATCACAGCAACGTCAGAGAGTTGACTATGAAACATGAATCCACGAAGTCATACTCATAAACTTCCTCGCTTCGGCAATGGAAAATGAAGGTTAAGAAAAAGTCAATATGTTTGACCTTGATGTATTTGAGGATGAAGTCAGACCGGTCTTGGATGGAAGTTTCGAAGTTGTTCAACCTAAAAATAATCCAACTAGATCCGTAAGTATAAGATTTATTCTACCTTCTGAGGTAAAGGACAATTCTACAAGATGTCTTGAGGTTAATCTGAACCTCTTCGCCATCTCTCCATATGAAATGCTTGTCATCAATCCTAACGTCAGGTGCATCTCGCAACAAAGAAGAAGGCAATCTCAAGGAAAAACCTAAGATACAACTAGCACAATCAGAGGGTTGTTAGGTGTCAATTTCATTTATAAAACCGTATGACATAGTATGTATTTCTATAGTTCTTGATAGTATGAATGAGGTTGCATGCGAATTTTGTTGGGCAAGAACATGTTGGTAGAGGTCAAATGTTCTCCAAATTCTGCCAAAGTTTCTTGAGATATGTAAAATATGGAGTGATAGATTGATCTCCTTGCCGAAGGCTGGAGAATTTTTCGTAAAGATCAGAGATTCAAAAAACATCACCTTGATGGTAGTGATCGCGAAGTTTAACCCAAATTTCGTGAGTTGTGTCCATCTAAAGGATGATTTATGCAATATCTCCTTCAATGGAGTTTGTTATACACGTCATAACCATCGTATTGCAACAATCCCAAGCTAGAGAAAGACTACCTTCAGTTGGTCGACCTAAGGTTCCATCAAGAAAACCTATTTTGTTCTTGGAATGCACAACAAAGAGAATAAATTTAGAATAAGACTAATAATTGAAGTTATTTAGAGATGGAGAAGTAATGGCTATACCCGGATTGTCACTAGGGTGCATAAAATAATGGTCTAACATATCATTTTGGTAATTGTTTGTGGTTGTGTGAGGTACAATGGTGGTGGTGTTTTTGTACGGTGCAATGTGAAGTAATTAGAAATGTCACGAGAATGGGGAGTTGAATTGTGACCCTTTTAGAATTTATCTTTACCTTAATAAAAAATACAATCCCTCAAGGAATATTTGGAGAAGAAATGTTAGAGTAAATCTCATAAAATATTTAGTGTTATGTGTGTGAGAATGTGATTGACAATATAATAAATAAATAGAGTAGAGTTTAAGAGGGACCACACAAGATATTTATCCTGGTTCACCAAAGTGGTTAGTCCAGTCCTCACAGTCTGTGAGATTTCTTTACTGATGCTTGACACCTTTTATTTTTGTGTGCACCTTTACAACTATGTATTTTCTTAGCCTCACTAGGCTTACGTACTGATTAATATAACTTCAGTAAGCTTATAAAGTAATGAATAAGATTTTGTATCACTTGGTGATATATGATTTTGAGAAAGTTTGTTTGGATCAAAGAAATACTAAAACTTCACCATATGGTAGTGAGAGGTTTGTAGAAGTATCTTTAATGAAATATAATGACGGTTCTTGAGGTGTGATGACTTTTGGTAGGAAAAATAATATGTATGAGTTCTTAAAGAGTTTAATGTTTCTTTCACTTTTTCTATGTAAAGCCAAACTTTTAAATAATAATGAAGTGTTCCTTTTATATTTGAGATTTGAATCAAGATAACTTTGCAACTTGTTGGAGATAAATCTATCTGTGGGAATCAACTTTAATTACTAATATTCCATTTAAGCATTCTGACTCCTCGGATGGTTGTCGTCAAGTTTGCACATTTGTATCCTCAGACTTGTTGAGTCCTTAAATTTCTTTATGTCACCTCAGTGAATATAATGTTAATTTTCTTAAATCTTGGTAACCAAGCAAGACTTTGAATCCACAAACTTGTCTTGGAACTTGCACTTCCAAAAAAACAACTAGTACTATTCCTTGAGTGACAATAAATGAACATGTCTCATATTTTCCCACTTAAGAAAACACATTAAATAAAAAAATAAGATCATAATCTTAATTATATTTACATAAGAGTTTGCTATCTTCAAAACATCAAAAATGATTTTTTTCTCAACACAGTGGTAACGACAAATATGTGTGGTGAAGAAGAGGTAGAAGGCTACTTTTTGGTAATTCGATTATGGATTCAGAAGAAGCCATTTTTGTTGAAAAAGAAGGTTTTATGTTGAAGAAAATAAGATCAAATCAGGGTTTAATGGAGAAAAAAGGTGAAATTTGAGATGAATGTTGAAGAAAATAAGATTGAAGATATCCATCCTCACTTAATTTACCTATTATACTCAATCAATTAGTGACCCTAATTGGAAAGTCACTGACATCTTCATAATTACCTTATAGGTCTATATTTGTAGGTATTTATGTCTACAACAATCTATTTGGTTTTGATGTTTATAACACTGTTAAATGAAGTCTGCATCAGAAGTGTTGGTCATGTCCATCTAGTGTTGATGACAAAATTGTGAAGTGTAGTCATCATCCAATGTGGTGTTCAAGTTGTGGTTCTTGGATATTAAGATATCTAAGCCTGTCTCTAAAGGAT